TTATTCTACAACCAGCTTAGGAGAGAACAGAGGGATCTGTGGTATATTCTTAAAAAACAAAAAAAAATTCTTTAAAAAGAAAAAAAAATCCTCTAATGTAAGCCAATGAGCAAATAATATTTATAAGCTTAAGGGGGAGCTCTGCTGGACTGTTCTAATCTTAAGACATGGTGGTTCCAAATTTATTTTTGAATGTAAACTTTGTGGCTTACTGTGTGCTGTTCCAGGAGTTATCTTGCTTGTCTTTCTTCCTTAGCCCCTTACTTACCATGTCTTACCATGTGTCAGACATTACAGCAGTTTTTAGAGCCAGTTTCGGGGTAGTGATTGTGTGGATTTTACATGGGTGACTTGCTGAAATTACGCTTTCCAGTCCTTAATGTATGTGCAAACGCATGTGTTATTTAAATGCCAACAGTTTTTTAAACTGATGGGAAATGGCAAGGTGCAAATAAAAATATAGGTAGAGTTTAACATACATAGCTGTATTTCAGGGTCAGTAGTTGCAGAGTTTTTTCATTGTGCTACTTGCTACTACTTCATGCTACTTTGAAGCCAGAACCTTCAGTAGTGTGAGAACCATGTCCTGACCTCTGAGAATACAGAATGTACAGTGTTTTAGTTAAACACCTGAAGTTAAACACTGTTGTGTTGCTTTGACTTTCAGCAGGCTATACTATGAGAAGAATTGAATATCCTGTTGACAGGAGAGGGGAATTCTGAGGTTGTCTTGTTATTTGGCTAGTAGTATAAAACTGATAATATAGAACATCAAATGCAGAGTAAGATTTCCTTGTGATGATCTTCTATTTTTAGAAGGGAGGTAAAGTCGGGAAGATATATGTCAAGCCCTCTGTACTGTGAACTTTCTAGATATTTGGGGCAGGAGTAAGGGAAGTGCAGGGGCTCTGTAGAGAAGTATGGATTGGTGCTGCAGCTGAAGTTCTTCTGATTGCTTTTCTGTGAAGATGCAGGGCTTGAGATATGATGCTAAATTTAGCCACTCCCTAAAATACTAACATTACTTGCACATACAAGCAAGAAGTCACTTACCACATAGTTTCTCAGTATTCAGTAATAACGAGAAGTTACTGGAAACCGAAGTGCAGCAAATCAGTTTATCCTTAGTTGCACAACCCAAGGTGCCAAAGCTGCTTAGGCACTCACTAAATTAAATTTTGTTTACGCCTTAAGAGATGTCTCAATCCACTAGTACAAGTGGCATTAGAATACAACTTCCTGTGTCCTGATCTGGTTGACTGTCTTCAGACTTTTGTCATGTAGAATTGTCAGGTGCTATTTATAAAACAGAATGGACAGTTTTATGATTGCTAGTAGTAATGATGCTGAGTTATTTCTATACATCTGGTTTCTCAGTGTGCAAAACTTCAATACATGTAGAAGCAGGTAAAGTAACTTAGCCAGATAACTAGGACCTCAGTTGAGGGGAAGGAGAAGCAAAATGAGCCAATGTGAGTGTTTTTTTTTAACAAGCTCTAGTGGTCTTTTTTTTTATCATATGAGTTACGTAGTGCGCTTGGGTATTCGCTACACTTGAAATGCAGTGTGGAAGGAGGGACCAAGGTCTTACAGTCTTCAGTGCATAGATAAGGAAAAGGAAATTGAGCAACTTAATTTTCATTTATCTTGGGCAATGACTTAAATATTTGGATGGAACATACTTCAGCATATTTAAAGGTGTTGGATTTTTTTTTCAAGCTCTTCTTGGTGTGTTAGCTCTAAAATTTTCTTATTAGATTATGTTTACATTGAAGGGTGAAGATGTCAACCGGACACTTGAAGGTGGGAGGAAGCCTCTTCACTATGCAGCAGACTGTGGACAGCTTGAGATTCTGGAATTTCTGCTATTGAAAGGAGCTGATATTAATGTATGTACATCAATTTGCAAACAGATGTTAGGGTGTTAGGATCTTTCACACGCACACATAAGGGATTGGTAGAAGTGCCTAAATAGTTACTGAAAGACTTAAATCAAAGAAAACAATTTGATGCATTTAAAAATATTTTGAGAGGTAGTCTCCTAGAGGTTAGAAGCTTAAAATTATGTTTATTAAATGTTTTTCTTCTTTCTGGACACACTAGGAAAAGTTGTTTCTAGCTATAAAAAATTCAAATTGACCATGTTTAGAAAAATAAATCCAGTAATTGCATCTAAAGTTTGCATGAAATACATATTACATTTATTCAAAGAGACTTCAGAAGACAGTGCAATGCATCCTTGGCCAGGGCAGGATCAACTCTGTTTAAATCGGTGTGCTTCTCTTTTTTTGGAGACATTCTTACTTGTAGAAACTTAGTCATTTTGCTGTAGCTTGACATGCGTGGCTTTTTGTCATGAAAACACTTTGCTGTCTTTTAGTGTAGTTCTTCATGAAATGAAGTTTCTAAATACTTTAACCATACACCCCAAACACTGTGCTTTAGAATGCTTGTCTGAAAGTTAATGTATAAGACATCTTAGCTTTAGTCCTTAACAAAATGGCTTGGATTTTTTTTCTTGGTGTCTGGAAAGATTATTTCTTCCTCAGGAATTCTCCCTCCTAACTGGAGAGGTGGAAAAAATGGAGGAAAAAATAAGAACATTTTGGTTGTTCCATTTCTTATTCTTTCCAGGAGTATAGTTTAGAGAGGAGAAGATAGCCCAAACACTTCAGCCAAAACTGGTTTCTGAAGTCAGGCTGGCTGAGAAATGGGAGAATTGGGAGTAGTGTTTTTAAGTTGGGTGAAATTTGTCAGCTGAAACACTGCAATTTCTATCATTGGCCTAAAGAAACAGACAAACTTTGGGGTACCTAGAAGTCTTACAGAAGAATTATCTTGCTGTTACTTCTTTTTTTAAACAATGACTTTTCTTTTTAAAAAGAAGAGTAAAAAATTTTGAGGGAATGTATTTCTGGATAATATTCTTAAATCCTTACCTTCACTCTACTGTTGACAAAACAAAATCTAAAAGTTAAGTGAAACCTTTTAATGCTATGTGAAATTTTACTTCAAATAACTGTGTCTCAATTTACAGGCTCCAGACAAACATAATATCACACCACTCCTATCAGCAGTCTATGAGGGCCATGTTTCCTGTGTGAAATTGCTTCTGTCAAAGGTGAGATACAAATGTTTAGAACAAGTTATCCATTAGCAAAATATATTACTATGATTTTTTTCAATAATATTATGATGCTCCAGATAAGTTCAGAACATCAAACTAATGCTGTTTATGTTGCTAAACCACAGAGGGTACTCATTATGGAGGAGATAGTTGAAGGAGAAAGTTCCATGACTTTTGCAGTGTAGCAAAAGTAATAGTGACCACTAAGGGAGTATTGGGAGCTGCAGCTAGAGAGCAATTAACAGCAAATCAGGCAAGAAAAAAAATGCATTCCTTCAGCAGACAGGGAGTGGGATTTAGCTTTGGCAGCTGCTTAAGTGTTTTCCTGTGATGGAATCTCCGCTGAGAAGTTGCTCAGAGGTGTGGTTTCCCTCTGCTTTTGCCAGATGACTGAAAACCCATCTGTGTTGGCAGAGTGAGGGGAGGTAGAAGTAGGAAGACAAGCTTTCTATCTTATAGAGCTCGTAAATTTTGTCCTGGGGAGAATAAACTTAATCTGTTTCTGTTCTCCATTTGATTCATATTACAAAGGTGATCCGTTTTACAAAGCAGTAGTTAATTCAAACAATGTTATGTCTCCGTTCATATGTGCTCCTTCCTGTTACACATCACTTTAAAAAAGGAGGTTAACATTGCACTTTCAGTATGTGAACCCACTAAAGTCATTTGGCCAGAGGATTTCATCCTGTGTAATATTTTCATATGTCACTTCCAAGGTAAAGTTTTTCTTAACTACCTTAATGCTGTGTGAATTTCACTTTTCTTCACTTCTCTGATCCTGTCTGATGCTAGTTATGTCTTTCTGTGAAGAAATGCTGTGACTATTAATTTAGGATTCAAATAGTGCATCCAACTTGCTTAAATTTGTTGTGAGGACTGATCATTTAGGATCAATTACAAAAAAAGTATCCTTTATTCCATGTAGTATTTCTCTCCATTTCTGTTTTGAAGTGTTTTGCATTCTAAATAAGTTGCTCAAATAATAAATAAGATGCCTCCAAACTTGAGTTCACACCTGAATTGTCTGGCAACTAGTAAGGGTCATGCATTCATTGTAGTCTCTGTCAGTGAGGGCATTAAGGTCCTTCCTGAAGCAACTATTTTTTACACAGCTTGTGAGAATGCATTGTTCTCTATACTTGGTACAATTTGAATGGCATTGGTTAAGTTCAACAGTCATGAAGATGAGGCAATCTTAAAAAGATGTGCAGAATGTTTTAAGAAAGTGAACTTGGACTAGGAGATGAGGTTAGAAAAATGTTACTCTAACCGGATAGTTTGGGAAAGCTTGTATTATTTTCAGATTTCTTCATGCAGAGCTCAATGTTGTACCACATCTACTTGCTTCCATTCACACAGGCTAGCTGATGAAATATTTATGAACTGGAACTTTGCTCATCAGCTCACTCTGAGGCAGATCTTATATTAAAAGGTTATTCTTTCTCTTACTCAAACAAGGTTCATAAGAATATTATCTGCTGTCACAGCTTGTTTGTAGCATAGTCTGATTTTATATGCTCTTTGATAGCAGATGCCTGGGAGATCAGGTAGTTCAACCCTTATTGAAAGTTACAAAAATTATTGACTGTTTAACTTTGACTATTTAATGTTCTTTCTCATTGCTTTTGGAGGGGAGTGTATTTTATTGTTACTCCAAATGCAGGACAAATATTGAATGTCTGATATTAGTGTATGTAAATAGTGGAACTGCAAATGATGGACCAATATATTTTAAGATTTTTCTTCAAAGCTGTTCTTTGTTGCTTTTGTAAATACTACACTTTACTTACTGCTGAGAATCTTCGTTATTTTAAATGTACCTACTTTCAGCTGCCTTCATTTACCTGGTAGTTGATCTCTTGCATGCTTGGCCTTTCATATAATATCCCTTAAGCTGTTGGACTAGAAGTCAATAACATCCTTAACATATTTTTTTAAATAGGAAAACAAAAATAATGAATTTTTTGTACTTTCACAAGCTTTGAGAACTGATGAACACAGTGATGCATATCTCCTTAGTCTGTTTGCGTACCACAAATATAAAAAAGTTAGCCGTTTGATCAAGCTAAAATTATGTAAGGAATAAGAGATTGTTCCTCTTCAACTGCTAATATTAGATTTCATATAAATAATTCTATGTTGGATGCAGTTGTTGGTTTGGAAATTGAATTGTTTTAAGCTAACATTCTGTAGTGCCTTCTGCAGTTATGTGAATTGTGGGGATGTTCACAGACCTTTCATGTGAGACTCTTAAGCTATTGAGAGGAGCAGAGGTGTTCAATAAATGTTTCGGACATTAATTGGACATAAAATGCAAAAAATCTACCTTAATAGAAGTACTGAATATGAAAAAGGTTAGCTTAGTCAAGGTGACCTCTAGGATTTTTGTAAACTTTCTGTTACTGTACAAGATTCATTTGTCTGATGGAAGTAAGCTGGTTACTCTTTCATGTAGTGTTACCGCAGAGCATTCTTTAAACAATCTTCCACTGAAAGCAGTAAAAGCATTAAAAGTATTTGTGCATAATTCACTTTCAGAGGATAGTAAATACATATAAATAGTAGAGACACTAAATCAAGATTCTAAGCTCTTAAACTGTCTAGAATGATTAGGGTGGCCACTTGATCTTAAGCTGAAGTAGCTTGGGTTGCTGCTAACCTGTGCTTTCTCTTGTTGATACTAATGATCATGCAGTTGCACAGTGAAATAGAGGCAAGCTTCTTCTAAGCTCATGTTAGAAACAGTTTACACTCGTAAGAGCTTGATTTGAAAAGTCCTGGGGGACCTATGCTGGTTCTTACTAGTTCAGTCTCTACAAAAGGTTTTAATGTATATGTCACATGACTAATAGAATTTTCTATAGATGATACTAATAGTTGAAGCCATTATGCCAACTGTTGTCCCATAAAAAGCAGCAACTCGTTTTATAGAATTTCAACTAACTTTTAACAAGGCTTTCCTTGATAAAGTACAGTTTGTTACTCTTGTTATTCCTCAGAAAGGACTGTTTTGGGGTTCTTAGCTAATGCTTATCACACATGAAACATGGCACTATATGAAATACAAATGACTTTTTGGAATAGTGAAGGCTAGTGGTTTATCTGGGAATCACTGGCAGCCTGTGTACAGCTGAACTGATAGAATCATAGAATCATTTAAATTGGAAAAGACCCTTAAGATCATGGAATCCAACCTAACACTGCCAACTCCACCGTTAAACCATGCCAAGTGCCACATCTATGCATCTTTTAAATACCTATGGGAATGGTGACTTAACCACTTCCCTGGGCAGCCTGTTCCAATGCTTAATTACCCTTTCAGTGAAGAAATTTTTCCTAATATCCAATCTAAACCTCCCCTAGCACAACTTGAGGCCGTTTCCTCTTGTCCTGTCACTCAGAAAAGAGACCAGCCCCCACCTCACTACAACCTCCTTTCAGATAGTTGTAGAGAGCGATAAGGTCTACCCCTGAGCCTCCTTTTCTCCAGACTAAACAACACCAGTTCCCTCAGATGCTTTTCGTAAGACTTGTGAGACCCTTCACCAGCTTTGTTCTTTGGACACAGTCCAGCACCTGTGATGGCTTTATACAGATCTGCTTTTGAAATTTGCTGGAATACTTAAGGTCATAAAAAGAAAGAGATGAGGAATAGGAGATTTTTTTTTTAGGCATATAGTTATGACATCTGAACTACAAAGTCTTTAATAATCCATTGAAATCTGGCTGATCCACTGCATGTGATGTGTCAAACTTTGTCCTTCATATACATTGCTCTTTTACTGGTAAGTTGGGGGAAAATGTCCAAGGTTAGCACAAGGTGCTAGAATGACTTGAAATAGTTCTAATTCTGTTCCCTATCATGCTTTTCATCAGAAGAGTTCAGAATGGACACTGTAAAGACAAGTTAAAAAATAATTCCTTCATTGATCTGGAGATAAGATGCTTCTTTTTTCCTCAGAAGCTCAGTTATTAATTATAAAGCTGATGGTCCCATTTGGATTTTTCTTTTATTAAAGCAAGAATCATTATGCTAATCATATGCATTTATTGGACATGCAGGTTGACACTAACTGTATTTTCCTTTCTTATGAAAAACTTAACTGTTAGAGTACATTTGGAGTGAGTATAGGAGGAACAAAACTAAAGATGTTGCTCTTAGTCCTAAACTACTACTAGCACTTTGTCCTTTTAATGTCTTCTGAGAAGCAGTAGAAAGCCAATTACTAACTTTTAAGCAGTGCTCCCAGCCCTTCTTGCTATAGCCCCAACCAGTTAACCAGTTCCTGTTCACTGGGGTTATCAGTGTGTCAGAATTAAATGGTTTCACAGCTTCTGAGGGAGCAAACTTCCTCTGGGAACTGCTCACATGTGAAGATTTATGTGAAAGCAGTGGAGGGGGAGAAATGTTTCAAATTTTCAAGAGCTCCCTGAAGCACCAGTCTGGTTTGACAGTACCGTAGCAGGGTGATACCTTGGATGAGCCCTCTATCTCAGAAGCAGAACCTTCTACTTTATTCTGCAGTACTTGTAGGAACATGTTGAGGAAAAGGGTAGAAAAATCACGTTGGGTTACATCTAACATGCAGATTAAATAATTTTTAAAAAGTCTGGAAGGGACCTCAAGAGGTAATCTTCAATGCATTTTAAAGAATGCCAGTGTTGTAGTAGGTGACTGTCTGACTTGTTCTCGAAGGCCTTCCATCAGCCAACTTCAGTGTCTGCCATTACTTAATATATTCAACTTTTCATCATGCTGGTGTCCAAGTGTCTGAATAGACTGTGCATTGTTTGTCAAGTCATAATATCACCATCATTATGGAAGCATCACCTGTGGCTAGGTTTGATCAGCTTCTGAATAAAATTACTGTTGCTGGAAGAACTGTGTTGGGTTGCATACCGTGTATCTAAATCTTGTGGTTCTCAGGGCCTTGGATGTATATAAAATTACATAAATAAGCTCCTTTCTGAAAATCCAAAAGATCTTACTAGCA